ACTATATTAATGAGCCTGGGCTAATAAGGGCTCTTTATAAAGAGCAATCCTGCTGGTGGCTATTCTGGCCGGAAAAATGGGCCAGAAAATAGGCAAAAAATGTGTGAAAAAATGTGGGGATGGGTGTGGGGTGGCCCTGGGGTAGGGAGGGTGGTTTGGGGATGGGTAGGGGGTAGGATAGTGGGTAGGGTAGGGTAGGAAAATGGGTGGTAATTGTGCACTAGGGCTAGGATAGCTGTATGCAGGGTATGGGGAGGATGTATGGGGCTAGGCATGGGCTCTGGGGCTAGGGCAGATAGATAGGTGAATAGGGATAGAATGATGGACAATAAAAATACGGAAAAATACAGAAATAATAGCAGGAATGCTATGATTGATATACTGGGTACTGTGAGGGTGGATTGGTAGGGGAAATGAGGTGATCTGGGGATGTTTTAGTAACTTTGTGAGTTTTGTGATTCAGAGTGAATGAATTGCAGGAGTAGGTGTTGTTTTTATGGAATTAGCTGATAAAAGGGTAAAATGTGGCCCAAAGTTGGCGACATGAAGGAGGACGATTTCGGCGGTTCTTTGGCTTTGATAAATAAGTATAAATGTATGTGATGGACATATTTCGGATTTGGACAAATCCGTCCATACGTTCCCAAGATATTGCAAAAACAAGTGGGGGGGATATTCAGGGTTGGGGGCCAGCTATGCAGGGTACATTATTTAGCGGTTGGATACCGTTCCTTTTGGGTGATATGAGTGTCCTATAATCCATAGGGCATGTATCAGCCATCCAAACAACAATATTTGGCCATATGGGCCTATGGTATGCTGAGAAAGTGAGGGGGGGAGGAGGAGCACATGGACATGGGCCCTATCTTGGATGTATACATGGTCTATATTGTCTGGTAGATATCTGTATAAGGTAGATATACCCTTGGGTGAATTTATCATGGAGTTAAACCAATGAGAATGTCCATCTGTGAGTATAGGGACAGAGAGGGGTGTTTCTGGGCCACAGTGCCACTAGATATTATTATGGGTGGAATTTAGACCGTTTTTAGCTCATGTGACTTCATGGTAAATTGTATAAAACATATAGGAAGAGATTACAAGAACTGTATGGCTGATAAATACACCTATAAGTTGTATAGAACATGTTCTATGAGGGTGAGCAGGAAAACAGGCCATATTTCGAATATATTTCGATATATATCCGCCAAATCACAGTAGAATTCTCTGAAAAGCGGTGTGAGTACTATTATGACATATTAGATCATTTCTG